CCACGAAGCCCGGGACCGCGAGGCCCGGCCCGTTAGGCCCACTAAGGCCCGGGCCCGGGACAAAATACAGCATTAGTTACATATTCCAACATTGTGCTTTGCAACATTACTCTCATGTGATCCGTTTGATAGCCGTTTTTCAGACCCATTTCTTAATGTAACACCCGATCCACGTTCAAGTCTTGGCATACTCACCGCTATGACATCAATGTTGTTCTACTCGAACCTTGAGGATAAGGTTCTTATTGAGGATGAGGGTATTGTTATGAATGAAAATAACGTGTTGAGAACGTATTGGGAAATTTAGCAAGTTATGTGTGGGACCCAGATTAGAGAATGTTTAAATAGTAGTAGGTTAGTAAAATAAAGTAGACAATTGTATTGTGATCTTCCTTTCCCCTCCTGTGAGTCTGTCTTCTCACCCCCTCTCTATTTCTGTATGTCTGGCTTCTCTTCCCCTTCTGGTTATGCTCCCTTGTTCCTCTAATTCTATTAGTATTTCTTGCTTCCAATGTAATTCAATTCAGTAATAATAATATACAAGTATGTGTTTGTGTTGAGAACTTGGGTTCATTACACACACCAAATCATCACTACCAACGGCAGTAACGGAGCTAAAGGTACGGAAGGTGGCTCAATCAAATTCCCTAATTGGGCCGGAAATTACACTGCAAATAGGGTAAAACATTTTTTTTTTTGTATATAAATAAACTGTTGAATCCGCTTAATATAAGGGAAGCTACTAGGTACAGCATTTAAGCATTTAATGATTCCTAATTCCGTCAGTGACCAACGGTAGCAACCGGCTCTACAAGCAGTATTTTGCACATGGAGATTTGCGTTAATGAACACACACACACAAAAATCACAAGATCAGAATGCTAAAGTTTAAAGAATGAATATTTTTGTTACCTGCTGACGAAACATGGGCGAATCGTCAAGCCTGGCAAACATCATTCCCCCCTGCATCTGACTAAAACCAATATCACTCACTCGACCAACTAATAAACTAGACCGAATAATACAACGTTAGTTTCTGGGCCCAAATTCGAACTGCAGATCAGCCAAATACATTAAGTTAAAAAAAAAAAAAGGAAGATCAACCAATTACATGATCCCCAGAAAAAAAAAGGCCGACTTAGAAAAACAGACCCCTTATACGTAATTTTTTGTTAAACACTAGGGAGAGCGAGAAAAAAATATGGAAAATATGAAGTGAGATTAGTGTTTTAAGGGAGGTTAACGAAAATGAAGGGAAACAAATTTTGCTGAGCAAATGGGGACCAATGTGCGATATTTCATGGCTGTCACTCAAATACTATAACCCACATCTCCATCTATCTCTTTCGTTTCTCATTGGGGGTTGGTTTTCGTTTTTAATGCAGAAGAGGAAAGCGGTCTGATCTGATGATTTCAACTGTCCAGCGCGCCATGGCATGGCTCGCGCTTCTTCAGTCTATTAGGCTGCGTACAATGTTTTTTTTTTTGTTTTTTCATTTTCCTTATAATATCCCATAAAATCATAAATAATGTTTTCGGTGTAACAACGTCATTTTCTAGAATTTCTTTTTGAAAACATTATATAAATTACTTCAATTAATAATTAATTATTATTATTATTATTATTATTATTATTAATTTTTAATGCACAAAATACACTTGTCTATTTGCTAAATTTGTTAATAACCTTAATAAATATTTTTTATGAAATATTTTTCACTCACTGATTAAATATTCAATTTTTTTCCATGGGATATGACTTCTATCATATCAATACACTTAAATAGATAAGTTTAAGAAAATTTAATGAGGTGGTTGGTTTCCGCCATGCTATTTAAGCTATATTCAATTTTTTTTTTAAAAAATATACTTGTGACTAGTGGTGATAAATTCATGTTATTTACTCCTCCCGCTTCTTATTTTTCTACCTAATCCAATTCAAACGTTGCAAATGGATCTATTGGATAATGCAAAACAAGAAAAATTGTAAGTGGATCTAACAATAGATATTTAATCCAATCCAACCAAATGCTAAATAAACGTAAAAGAGGGTACTACTGAGTTGTACAATAACCATACCAGTTACCACCTGTATATCTGAAGTTTTGTAACTTCAGACTAGCGAGATTTAACTGATTAAATTTACAAAAAATTACGAACTTCGGCTATGCTTTAAATAGGGGTCCTCAAAGTGGCTATCTGTGCACTTCCCGCCAAACCCAAGCCCAATAAAAGGTACATAAGGGAAGCCCATAAGTTTTTCCAGTCCATAACATAAAGGGAACCCGTTTCGACCCGCCCTCCTATTTCCCGCGCATCCTTCGCAATCGGCACCTAGTTTGCGAGTGCAACTATACTCTAACAATTCTCCTACTACAATGGAGGATATCGACGGAGGAGAAATGGCAAGCGAATTAGACAGAGAAGAGGAAGAATCAGCCACCGACTTACTCCGTGATCGATTCCGATTATGCACTATTTCCATTGCTGAAGCCGAGGGTAGTTTTTTTTTTTAGTTTTCAAAACACATACAGTAATTTCGAATTTTTCAATTTTCAATTTTCAATTCGGTCTTTAATTTGTTTGTTTTGGTGTATAACTGTTTAAGTGCAGCGAAACAATGTGGTATGGAGGTTTCTCAACCGATTATGGCTTGCATTTCTGATTTAGCCTTCAAGTTTGCAGGTACTTTTTATCGTTTCTACATATATACATGCATTTAGTTTGGAGAATTCAAATTTTGAAGGCACTGGTGCAACACTTAATGTGCAAACATTTTTTTACCACATTTTATTTAAATTTTCCATATACATATATACTATTGTCTAAGCAAGACAGTGAATACACCTGCACCTGGCTTCTAACACATTTGGCTGTTCGGTCAAAAATAATTACAGTCCCTAGCCAAATATACAAAAACTATACTCTGATTATGTATAAAATATGTATATTATACATTAATTACAAAAAATATAAATTTGCTGGGTATTATTTTGGAACGCGGCTATACTGTGTAGATTTCCCTTGCTTATATGCTAGATTCCCATTGTGGACACCTGCTTCACGACCCATGTCCTGTGTTATTTCTTTGTCCTTTTCTTTTGCTTCTGGTGTTGATATTCTAGAGAAATTTTGATTTCCATTAGATTGTTGATGATGGTCATAATTTGCTCAAATGTTTTTCCAATTAGACACTGTTAGCAAAATATGGTTGAGTTTTCATTCTGGAAATCTCAAGCTTCTGTATGTCTCTTGCTAAATGTGGAATAAGGATGCTTAACAGTTGATTATAGATGATGTATTTATGTATCAGAATTGCAAGGACCTCACCCTGATAATACTTAATCTAGAATATGACAAAATGGGGATTTCTTTTATAAGATAAGTTCAAGTTTGTTAGTTGGTTAGGATTAGTTTATTTAATCTTATCAATAGCCCTTTGTTTCGATAGCAATGAGGTTCCATCCCATCTTGGTTTATTCCTATTCTCACAAGAGGCTGGAGGGCTAAGGAAAATACATATAGACTTTAAGCAAATTTGATGTGACATGAGATATGGAGAACTTATAAGGAAAAGAAAAATGCCCTCAGATAAAGAGATATCGGTGGTTGTTTCATAGGATATTCAACATTCACTTTCTTTTGATTGTGGATGGCACCTCCAATCTAATGGGGTGATATGCTGACCCTGCATGTTGACACTCTCTGCAATTTCCATCACGAAGATTTCATTTGCCACTTAACACGAAGACTGTTTTATTTTCAATGTGTACAGTTATGCACTAAGGATACAGACACAGAAGGCATAAAAAAAGGTGCCACTATATGTAGTAGGCAAATTCTAGTCTGTTCTATGTGTGTATAGATGTGTGTATCAATCTTATTGATCTCGTTTTTACTGGCTGGTCTGTTTTGTACAAAATCCCATACCCTACAAACTCCATGCAATCTTCAAAACTGTCACCCAGTGTAGCTGCTAGTTTGAAAACTGTAATTCCTGCAAATTCCGCAAGAGCATTGCAATAGCTTCTGTTGGAATGGATGAATTGATTCTCACCAAACAAAGCACATTGAAATTAGACTAGAATTCCATAACATCAAAGCAATAAGAAAATAAGTGTTTGAACAAAAAAAACAATAACTTGGGGCTCTTGAGGTGGCTGCATCAAGGAGCAGCGGTGGATGGCGGTAAAGGTAGTTTACTAGTTGCGATGATGTGCTTTGGAGGATGGTGGTAGTGAATAGAGTAGTGGTAAAAAGTCACATTTACAGGAATATTTAAATAAACATCTTCTTTATGATTTTAAGACTTTTTATAAGATTTGAATGAACCAGATCTAGCAAGAGCAAACAAGTGGTCGTTAGAAAAAAAAAATCACTTAATGGGTTGAGATGTTAATTATTCAGATTCAGACCTTATTAAGTTGAAACAAATTAGGCCTTAGTTGTCTCATTGCTGTTTGATTGAATTTCATATTCAGGCATGTCTATAATTGTATATCTTGATTGCTGAAGCACTTAACTTACAGAGTACTTTTTCTTGAGAGCAGAACAGCTAGCAAAAGACCTTGAATTATTTGCCCAGCATGCTGGTCGTAAGTCCGTAAACATGGAAGATGTTATTCTTTCCGGTGAGTTCATCTGTAAATGTAATAGGTACAGCAGATCGTGGACATCAGTCCTTATAAGCACAAGTTAGCGTTATCTACTTGGCCTTGTCAATACTAGCAATCTAGCTTTATCTGCTTTTATTAATTTTACAGTCAGCTTTCCAGTTACTAAGAGTATTTTACAAGCTTTACTTAGCAATTTGCTTCACAAGCAATGCTGCTTCATGTATATAGAACCGTGGTGTTTCTCACCAGTTTGCAAATATATATTGTGTGTGTCCTTAATTTTCTTTCCCACCTTGTCGTAAGAAAGATTGATAATCATTTGCTACTACTGTCAATTGTTGCAAAATTGATAAGTTTGCCGTTAGCACAACTCATTTTAGGTTCATTCAAGACTATTCAATTTGCCATAAAATGTTTCTTGTCCGCGCAGTTCATTTTCAAAATTGATTTAACATTGCTCCTATTTTATGAACCCATGAACTACTAATTTTTCTTAATATGTACTTCATAGCACATCGGAATGATCACCTGGCTGCCTCATTGAGGTCCTTCGGCAATGACCTAAAAGCAAAAGAGCCCAATTTGGAGAGGAAGAAGAAGAAGAGTTCCAGAAGGGAAGATAAAGTTGTTCGAGATGTACTTCGTACTCCAGACTATTAGATTAGAGGCATGGCCAGTTTCACTATGTAGTCCAATAGCCTAATAGCTTGGTGAGAGCAGCATCTGTGCAGCACTCACAGCTTTTTAAGGTAAAAACAGGTTGGCAACATCATTGAAAAGCTACCTCAAAATAGCGCCTCAAGTGCAACATGGTGCGATAAATCTGGAGAATAGCAAAGCAACTAAAAGAATGTGGTCTGATAGTATTTATGATGTTGTAAAACCTTTCATATTTGTACTATAAAAAAAGTTTTGGATTTGAGCTTCCACCTCACATTAGTCTGGGCGGAGCTCACACCTTGGAACTTGGAATAGTATGAAAAATATCCGTGCCATGCTAGGCACATAATTTAGCTGCTGATTAGCATTCTTTGTACATGAATTAAAGCACTTTTGCATGAATCGAGTATTTTCTGTGAAAGTAATCAGTTGATAAAAGATTATCGAGCTTTTTTTAGCGGTGATTAGAATTCTAACCAAGCTATCTGAGCAATCCATCCTAGAGCCAGATAAGTTCCATCAACAATAGCCAATGAGGGATAATCGTTGTTAAAATCATTCATCAGTTGATTACGTTTTGGAAAAAGTACCTCTCATTATCTATATCAACAGCCACGCAAGAACCAATGGAAAGGATTTTGACATCCTTATTAAGGTATGAAGCAGAAATGGTCACCACCTACTGCCCTTTCCTATGCAGATTGATTTGGTCTGGCATAATCAGGAAGAGATTTACATAAACTGTTATTGTTCGGTAATCTCTTTTTATATTAGCAAATAGGGGTTGGCTTTCCTTTTTCTATTTTCAGAAAACGCAATTTAGAGTATTAGTTAACATTTTTTTTTTTGTGTGCGACTCCCCTCCCCTTTGATTCCCCTCTAATCTCTTTATTGGAGTTATTGCTCCTTTGGTGACTCGTATGTTAGG